AGAGAAGCCTCAGTTTGGTCATCCTCCTGTGACCAAGGGTTTCTTCTTCACACCCATCTCTGCTACTTAGAGTGGCAAAGTGCATTCTTTCTTGGTTCCAAACACAAAAGGCGAAAAGAGGTTTTGGCTCAGACTTGTCTTCTCCCCCCAGTTCATTCACAGCTGAAGGTAAAAAGTAACCATCAGCTAAGAAACAATCCTTGTTGTAGTTGGATTTGCAGCTGTCAAAAGACTTTTTACACACGAGGTGATGGATGGTGGAAGTCCAGTGAAAGGCTGGTATCCAGATTCAACAGTCTGACCTGCTGAGCAGATGCTGTATATGTTGCAGGAGTTATGAGGGTTGCTTTGGTGCCTCTCTACATCTTCAGGTGAAGCTCCTAACAGCAAGTTACAATTTGGGAAGGCTTGAATCAGTACATCCAGACTTCTCTGATGTGTAGTTCTAAACAACAACAAATTCCTGCTGCTGTGCCTGCCTGGCACCCAGCAGGACCAAGTCTGGCATTGTATTCCAAAGCATTGCTCTTTAGGGAAAAATACAAGCATGACTGGAAGGGGAAGAGTCCTTAAAGAGCTCCTTTTGTTCCACTTTTGTTTTGTCCACTTTGCTTAAACTCTTTTCTTAATCAAGTGATCCTTGAAGAGCCCTTGCAGGGCATCAGATGTGCTTTACTGGGATCTACGGACTGGATGTTGAAGACAGGGGATCTAAGCCACCAAAACCAGCACTAAATGAATCACAAAGGGTGTCTTTTGCATTCATGTCCCTCTAGAAAATATTCCTTCCCTAAGAAACAACAATCTACTTAGTATTTATTTGCATTTCCACAACCTTAGTCTTTTCCCCAGTGCTCCATAATCATCCTTATCTCAGGATTAATTGATTGTCAAACCTCACAGCTCTTCCAATTCCCACTGCAGCTCCTCACCAACTCAAAACTCCTATTGTCTTTCCACAGGGCTCCACCACTAGCTCTCCCTGATCCCTCCCATGGAAACTGAATTTCTTCAGGAGAGGAAAACTCTTCCCTTTGAAGGGAAAAAAACAGCTGAGCCTCCCAGCATCTCCACGTTGGAGTAAGATTGTTAGTCCCACACAACTGGGGGAAGAAACCAGGAAACCTCTGTAATTAAGCATCTAAAAGGCCAACCAAAAACTGCAGTATGGATCAAAATCCAGTCTTCCATCTCCTGTTTGTCCTCAGACTCCTACCTCCTAACCACCAGGGAGAAGTGCTGTACTACCAATTCATTCTGACAATACAAAAAAACAAGATAGAGGATTAAATTGTTCCCTATCAGAACACATTCCATTTGGGAAGAGGTTAACAGCCAGAATGAACAAACCTCAACAATCCAGAGAATGAACCACATCAGGTTACATTAGCAATATAATTAAGAATAATTCAAGTTATTTAAATGCTTTTAGATCATCCTTTATTACTCCACAGCAGCCCATCACACCAGCTGAACTAAGTGTAGAGAACTGGCCACGATTTAAAACTCTTAATAAAAATCCTTCAAATTTATTGTTCACTTTTAATAGATTCTGATCAAGGAGGCATCTCCTGTTTCATTTTTAGCTTTGAAAACAAATTGCTATTCCTTAGAAATGCAATTCTTTCCAACTGGCTGAAGCACAGAATGATTATTTCTTTGAGCCAGCCACATTATACCTTTTCATTAAAGTTGCAGGAACAGTCACAATAGAACCAGCATCCAACAGCATATATATCACATTATCTGCCTCAGAAGGAAGGAAGGGAAGGTACTAGGAAGAAACATTCTCTTGACAAAATAATCTGGCTTTGACCATCACCTTTGCAGAGACATTTTAGCTGTTTTGATGTTGTTACCTTGAGACAGCAATTATCTCAGCACTACTTCAGGGATTTTTCTTTTGCTGAAACACCTCCAGATGCCAGCTCGAGTCCCTCTCACATTTCCACGTGCAGTGTTTCCTTACACATTTGGCAGTTCAGCATATTCCATTTCAGCCTCACACTCCCAGAACCACTTTTGAATCAGCATCTCAGGCCACTTAGTATCAATCCCCACAAGAGCCCTTCTGAGCAGGTATTATCCCCACCGTGCAGGTCAACTCAAGGCACTGATTTTCAGGTGCTAATGAAGGGTCCCAGCAAAACCAGCTGCTCTTTCAATCTGTCACTATCCTCCTCTGCACATTAATAAAAATGCCTTTGGGTGCCTGAAACAATTAATTTTGGTCACATCTTTTTAAATAACTGGACAACCAAATAATGCTTTAAGTTGTTCTTTCACAACTGAAACTGAGGGACTAATGAGGCAAAGTCCTGTCACCCACAAGAACTCACTAGAATATTGACTTAACTCCACTCATTTTAATTTAAAAACCATGAGAGGAAGATTAACTAAATGGCATGGCAATCACTTTAGAATACATTATTTGAAGACTGTGGGCAAGAATTTGCCTGGGTACTGAAAGATCCTAGCTGTTTAATACTTACCTCCCAACTAGGATGGGACACCTCTTTGCCCTTTGGCAAAGGGCCCCTTTCCTTTATCCTTTGGCGTCCTTAAGCTACCAGCATAGACCACAAGAACAGTAACAAATGAAGCTAAAGTGAACTCCAAGTAATTCAATACAATTTTTTTTATATCCTTGCATTTCACACCACTCCAAATCATCACCCGTAGCAGTAGCTTCCTTAGTGAAGATGAAGTCCCAGTAAAAAAAGAAGCAACAGATAAATTGTCTAAGCAGCAGAACCAACAAGCAACAAGTTCTGTCCCAAGGGGAGTATTTGCAAGATGATGCAAGAAGAGCTCTAAACAAAGAATTTTTAAGAAAACTGGTTAGTATTTCTGCATTGCTGTGCACTCAAATAGGTATCAGCCCACCAGCCCACTAAACAACTTACTAAGCTAACAGAGAACATTTGAGGCTCTCAAGGAACTAAGTCACTTAAGATCTTTGAGAGTTATTATTTTTATCTAATCAGGGGCACATCTCTCAGAGAAGACCATTTTATCTATTTTTGATTGCAGTCACATCTTATATAAACACCATTCAGCACTTTTAGAAGAATTATTTCAGAAATAGGAGGAGCAAAGTGAGGTGAATAGCAGAAAGCTGTGAGAAGTGGAAAAATTGAGGTGACTGATGCCTCTCCATTGCTTTAATAGCCTGTTGCTAAATACTAGAGAAAATTCAATTTATGCTGAATTAAGGAGTATTTCCAGAGCTGCCACTTCAGTTGAAAGGTACATAAGCCTATGATTTTTTAAATTTTTTGCCTGTGGAATTTTGGCAAGCTAATCAAAACTCAGGTTAAATGGCCTCGTTTTATTAATGGAACATTATGTCACAATAATCCTGCACATAACTTAATAACAGATGAAGTAGCACTCTCCTAATCCAGGAAATTAAGACATTGTTTTTGAAAGCTGTTCAGTACCTGTCACTTGACTTACGTTGCCTCAGGAAAGAAAAAATAGTAGGCAAGATACAACAGGGAGTTTTTGAGCCTGTCTTAATCTGGTCTGAAAAGGAAAAAAGAGCTGTCTTTAAGGAGACCTCACCCTTTCTTCAGAAACTCAAGCAAGTCCAAACATCTTTTTTGGCTAAACAAGATAAACATGGCTTTCTCCTGGGAAAAGTCTTGGCATGACACCAAGCTGAAAGAATTTTATACACTCTTATCAGAAGTCCAGCCAGGTTGAAAGCCACAGATTCTAAAGCCAGAGAGGAACATACTCTAGATTTCTAACCTATTAAAGGTGTTGAAATGTATCCTCTCCTTTCCCCTCAGTTTTTAGAGAAGTTTCTTCCAGGCCTTTGTGGGTTTGGATTTGAAAACATTTCTTCCCAAGAGGCAATTCTAACCTTGCAATATACCACAGGAGTCTACAAGAGACAGACCAGAATAAGCAATAATCTGCTTTGCCATAGCATCTCCTAGAATGAAGACAATGGCACAGCAGAGCACATCCTTCAGCTACACAGTTAGAAAAAGAAGAGATGCCTTTTATAACTCCATTAGATGCAATTAATGCATTATCAAATGTGTTCATATCGTGACATAAGTCAAACAGATCATTGTCCATCAGCTAAATGCACAGACCCATAATTTTGCCACAAAGGTGAAGAATTTCCAGAAGCAGCATGAACAGGCCCATCAGAAAACAATCACTTCTTGAATTAACTCTTATGAGAACTCCCAGCAAAAAGTGAGCTCTGGACAAGTTAATAGCTAAAAGAGCAATAACTTACTGCAAATACGACAAAATATCACAAGGCTCCCAGGGAATGCTTTGGGGATGCTGGGTAGAGAGGTATATGATCTTTCATGAACATCCATGGATTTCAACACAACCTCTAGAAAACTCAAGAACTGCAGCCTTGTGGAAAACAACTCCTGAAAAGCATTCTCACAGGCTCCCTTCAGTACTTCAAGCCTCTTCCCCTTTCCAGCAGGACCACCACAATGGTAAAGCAGAGCTTGGAATCTACAGCACAATATCTAGATACACCCAAAACCAGAACTCCTTTATTTTTCGCTTTATATTTCCAAGCATCTCCCACTTGATACCACAGTCAACTGAATGATTAATGGAATTATTTGCTCATTTTAAGTTAATGTTTACATCAAAAAGCATTCAAATACAGAGTTTTAAATAAGCTACTGCAACAACAATATTGATGTTTCTCTTAAAAGACTGATGAAAAGAGTTCAACCCACAGGCATAAGTAGTCCAGTATTTTGCAGTTTGCCTAATCAAGCATTTTTTGCTCAGCAGAACATACACTCCCCCATAAAAAAAAAACACATCAAAATACAAAACTGACTGAGAAGTCACAAGGAAGCCTTTCATTTTTCAACAGACTGGCTGTAGAAGGGGGATGATGCTTACTTACCACACAGAAAGCTGAGAACTGAGAAGCATAAGGTGCTGCAGAAAAAGAAATACAAGTGCTAAGTACTATTACTCCACAGAACAATAAAGAAAACTGGTTATTTTAAACAAGAAGTTTATTTAAACAACAAGACGCTTTACTTGAAGGGAAAACTATCTAAGATTTTTTTTTTTTAAGAGTAATTTTACCCTACTTAAACAGAGATTGCTCTACATGTAACAGCTACGTACAAAAAAGTTATAAAATTGTCCTTGGTTTTACAATGATAAAAGAAAAACATTGAAATTATCCAATCAAACAAGGTATGCAAGATTTTTGTTTTTTAAACAGTGAGAGCAAAATAACTTACTGGAATATAAAGATAAAAGTAGAAGGAGCATGCCACTAATGGAGTAAGGGGCATTTTCACAGAACCAGTTTGTTTTCCCACCCCATCTCCATTAAATGTTGATCAAAACATACCATTGGCCATTTAGTTAAAAAAAATATGCATTATGTCTGTGCACATACACCAGTTACTTTATGTACAATATAAGGAATAGGAAAAAAAAAAATCAAGAGAGAGAAGAGAGAAAACTATACTGCAGTAGTCAGGATGTGGCCGAACCAAGTCTCATTTTTCTAATTGTGAATGTGTCGCCTGTGGGAGCACAGTTCTGGAGAGGAAAGTAGCAGGTTCCTTTTTAGTGTGTTTTTTGTTTTTTAGTACACTCCTCCTGTTTGCTGCTGGAACACATCAATTGTATCTTCATCCTCCATTTCCAACTACAGCAGAAAAGAGAAAAAAACAAAAAGGCTTTCAACTCTTCTCAGATAACCTACAATAGGCTGGGCTGTTCTTGCATTCCCTACCTTCATGCTTCCTTTTTATGCAACTTAACCAGCCCAGCCCCACTCCCCTCCATCATCAGCACTTTGCACTGCACTTTCAAGTGCATCAGCACTTTCAACCTACTTCACCATAACTCAAAAGGAAAGAAATTGCATGGAAAAGAAAAACAAAACAACAAGCCAGTTGATAACTGTTGTCCTAGAATGAATTCTAGCAGGTAACTTCAGGGAGCACTGTGTGACTGAAAAAGACCAGTATTCATAGCATGTTAATTCTGTTGCCTACTTTGCCATGGCCTCTTCTTTCTCCTATTTATTTCCTCAGTTTACCTTAGAACTTTGCCACAACTCCACTTTGCTGCTGTTGTTCAAATGTGCAAGTGGCTTCAGCTACAGCACTAAAGAAAGCAGACTATAATTAAGGCCCCTACCCCAACCAGGCAGTAAAACAGAGCATCAGCAAAACACAAAAAAAATTAAAAACACTTTTTATGGTCAACAATGTAACAAACTGCCTGCAAGGAACAGAAATATATTCTTAATATAATATTCTTTTTTTCTCTGTAAGTTTTACAGTTGATATTCCTGGGATGTTTCATATTACCTACAGGCAAAATCTATACCAAGATTGAAGGAGTTGCTATAAGTCAACTAAGTTGGATTTTGAAAGTGTCTCAATTTCTGCTCCAGGAAATCAAACTGGTCTATGGCATTTACCACAGCTATAAATAGACTGATCCTTAGCTTCAGCATAACACAGATGGAGAGAAAAGCACCCTGTTGCCTCAATTATCAGTATTCCAAATTTAAAAGTTCCATAGAATATGGCCATAAAGGGCACATTATTTGGAATAACTGCTTAGAAAATACAGATCTATTATAAACCTTCCAAAAACAAGAGTCCCTTCTTTTGTAACAAGTGGTAGGAAAAAGCATCTAAAACTGTATCACTTGGAAAGGCTGATTAAAGACAGCTACGTGGAGCAGTGCAGAAAGAGACTCTCAAGAGTCACAGTGAGCCACTCTGTTCTTGGAATGGTCTTAGTTTTAACCAGACAGACAACCCCAATTTCACAGTATTCATTAACTTTATGCTCCTGAAGCAGATCTTCAAATTACAAATAGCAGATAATTACTTTCATATTACAAATGCTAGTTTGGAAACAGCATCTCTGATAACAGCCTGGAAAGCTCTTGTAAAGAAAATAAAGTCACTGCTTTAGGAAAAACTCAATTAACTTACCAATTCTTATCTCAGAGCAGTGACTCAATACAGTGAGTTTTACAAGACTTATCATCTGCACACTATATATATTTACTACTACAGTGATACAGACATAGTACTCAAAACACTAAAGTCTTTAGATTCCATTTCCAATTATTTTATAGTTATACCAAAATAATGGTAAAAAAATCAAGTTCTATCAGTAGTACATACAATTATACAAGTATTTTATATGAAACAGAAGCAGCAGATTTTAAATACGAATTATTCAGTCTTGCTTCTGCTGTTTACCTGTGCAGGTGTGTCTGTTTCATTAATTGGCTGCCCATCGAACCGGAATCTGATTTGCCTCATTGACAACCCCTGGAAAAAGAGAAGCAACACAAAGGGAAGTAAACCTGGTGTAAAAGTACTCACCAGTTTTCTCTTGAGCTTATTAGTCACTGGAATTGCAGCATGATTGTTAAAAGCCACCATTCATGATGCACGATATAGTCCTGATGCTCCCCCTCATGCATTGACTTTCAGGCAGTTCATTACAAATCCCTGCAATCTGTTTTGTATTAAAAATTGCATCATGTCCAATAACTAAGAGAAGCAACAGTGCCCCCACTGACTGCAAGTTAAAATAAAGCCATTTCTAGTATACAAGTCTCACCCCAAAGATTTTTATAGTGCTTTCAAATAATAAATCACTTGAAAATAGATACAACACTTTGAGTAACAAATGTCAAATGGTAATATTCAATACTTCTTTTTGATCTTTCCCAAAAGCCAGGCTATTTATTAAAAAATGGTTTTTTTCCAGGAATCCAGCCACCACCTACTAGTCTACAGCAGCAAAGAGTAGCCAACAGTAACTTTTTGACTTTGAATTCTTATTAACAAGAAATCAATGGAACCAAGTTTTTCCATGCACAGCTGGAACTTTCAAAAAAAAGCTAAAGGAATCCTCTGCTTCCAGAAACCACTGAACAGTATTTTGAACTAACATTTCTATCATACAATAGTCATTTTGCTGACCTACTCCATCCCCAGAAGACTACTTCCCATTGTCACTTGAGCCAACAGATTCACAAAGATAACTAAAGAGCAACAATCCCTTCCACTAATGACATAAGCTTCAAACGGACAAGTCAGTTTTCAAAGGTATTTTACAGCACACTGCATTCTGCAGAGGAAGAGGAATAAAGTCTGCAGATAAAACCAGAACCAAGAACCTTGGTGGCTACTTCTGTCCCACTTCTATCTACTCTCTCTGCAGAGCATTGAGAAGGTCAAGTCAGCTGGTTTTGAAGTAAATCCCATGTACTATGTGGTGCTGCTTTGGCACCTCTAAATGAGAAAGGAAGCCTTAATTCACCCAAGCAAGAACAGATGTATCACACAGAACACTTAACACAGTCATTATTTATGAGAAGTTGATTGGTCAGGGAAAATATTTTTACAAAGAGTAAGAAAAAACTTTTTGGTAAGATTTTATAGTTCACAACAAAATACCTTTTCTAGAGCAACTAAGACTGTGCAAAGCTGACTGGGAATCCCATCTTGTTCAAGAAAACCATGTGGCAAAGTGTCATGGCAGCAACATGTTTCTGCACTGCAACATTTGGTTGGAGCCATTTTCTCTGACACTGTGTTTCTAAAAATACATTTTTTTTCCTATTCCAAAAGTGCTGGGTTTTTTGCAGGTTCCCCACAACTCTGAGCTGAATAAATGCCAGCTAAAAAACACTGAAAAACCTTGCTGATATTAGTATCCACAAACAATTTAGCATGTTCCTTGGAAGATTTTTTCCCCACTTACAATAATCACAAATAGTCCTGATCTTCTAAACATAACATTCGAGGTTTAGCTGCCTCCATTTTAAGTCAACTACATAATTTTCATTCTTTAAAGCTGCTAAATTACCTACTATATGCAGCATCCACCTCTCCAAAATTAAACTTAAAGAGTCCACAGCTTGTGGATTTTAAGATTGGGTAAAGAACACAAACAAAACCCAACTTTTAGGAACACACAGCAGAGACTAAGCATCTAAGAAATAAAATTTAAAGACAAGTCCATCTCTGCAGAAATATCACACAGACAAAATAAAATATTCATCATCAAGAGCTTCAGAAGAGAACGTGGAATAGCAGAGGTGTTTTTACAACCTGCAGTAGCTGCCTGCAACCTGACAGGTTGGCTGCAGTTGCCACTACACTAGCAAAATAACATTTTTTTGTACCTCAGAGGATTCATTTGACGACTAGGCCACAAGAGAGAAAACCAAAGCTCATCATTAAATGTACAAGCTCCTTCTCAAGCTAGACATTAGACACCTTTAAACCCTGAAATACTGATATTCTCTCATCTCAATACAATAAAATACTAAGCTAATAAATCAGAAGTCTATGACCAGACCAAGAAGTTACTCAGTTATAAAAATATCTCTGATTATCACTCTGCTCTCTATCTTAAATTCATGCTGCAGGTTCCAATCCCACCCTTTCCATACTGATATTTTTGAGCAGTAGAATAACAGTTGTCTCCCAACAGCCTACACCTATAAGATAACAACAGATCTTCACCCATTTCCTGTCACAACCCGGTCAGTCCAATCTCTATCAGAACCTAAGAATAATAGTTTCCACAACACAATTCGTTTCAGTGAAGTATTTTATCATTTTGCATATTTACACAGTTTAAAACTTTACTGTCTTCATCTATCTCTATGGAGATCACCTCTCCCTCAGACCCGGGTTCTCCTGAGGATCATACCTGTCGTTCACAATAGGCTTTCATTAGTTTACTAAGTGGTGTATGCCTCTTAATCTTAAACTGCACCACAGACCCATCTTGCCCTGCCACCTTCAGATTAATGTGGTCATTGTTTTCAGTCTTCACTCCTTCCTGTTGAGGAAATAAAAGAGAAATAAAAAACCAAACAGTACTTTTTTAAAAGGTACAAAACAAGAAGTTAACATTTGATCAACGTGCAACAGGTCATAAAAAAAGGAGGACGTAGATATTACAGCTGCTTACCAACTTGAAACTTTAAATTAGGAAATAAAGGTCAATACTTTTTAACTTAATTTTTTTTTAAGCCTTCCATACACACAAACCCCCAAACACTACTGATAGGAGTTGTCATGCTTGAGATTGGTTAACATGCAAACTAGCAATGAGGAAGGAGTTAACTAGGCCTGTTGTTTTACAACAGATTTTTTTTTAAAAAGTTATTTTTATCAAGGGCACAATAGTTTGCAACATTGCTGCCTCTAATCAAAGGAATAAAGTTATTTGAACCATGATCTCCACCTCTTCCTGCCTCTCCAACTTTTCAGCATCAGTTGAGGTACTTCTGAAAAAAAAAACTAAAGGGCTGTATTTGAAAAGGTGACAAAATCTGAAAAGAGAACCAAGCCTTCTCCTTCAGAAAACGCTTAAGAAAATAAACAGCAAAACAACCCTCCTCCACCAGCAGCCCGACCCTCCCGCTTCCTCCCGCGGAGGGGAGAACTTGCAGAGAACCAACTTTCAACCCCGCTCCTCGTGTTTTTGCTACTGAGTATCACGGGGGGAGGAGGCGAGGGAGGATTTAAAAAAAAAATTAAAAATCTCCCCAGTTCCCGGGGAGCAGCATTTCCATCTTTGTTTCCTTTGGGAGCAGCGGGGGAAGGTGCGGGACGGCCCGGGGTGCGGGGTCCCCGCCGTGGGACTGAACCCCCCCGCGCCGGGATGTCCTGGCGCCTTCAGACTCCGTTTTAAGAAATTAATAAATTCGGAGGGGGAAAAAAATAATTAAATAAATAAATTATAGACGGTGTTAAAATCGAATTTTTTTTTTAAAGAAAATAAATAAATAACGGCGGGGTGGGGGGGGGGGGTGGGGGGGGCGGGTGGTTGG